CACACTAAGATGCCTTTTAAATGCATTTGTTCTGCAGAGCCTGTAGGCTCTATCGTAAAGATGATTACTATGATTGAACCCGCGCTTAATCCATCTTCACTGCTCGCGCACATCACCCTCTCATTCGAAATTCAAAATCTAACAGAAACTCAATGGATAAACCCAACGCTTAAACAAAGTCAGTCAGAGTGAAAATTCTTCACAGTGGTGATATTAAACTGAAGAGCTGAATGCCTCTAAAAGCTCCCCCGTGACTTTTTTACACAAACTGGCTACAAATATGCTGCCACAGGCCTGTTTCATTTATTTTTATTATAGTTTTATGATAAGCTTTTGAACTAAGAAGTATTTTTTGAAACACATTCGGGGGTCCAATGCGCCTTGGAAACACACTGTGATCCGATCACTCAGGAACATATGACCACATAACATTCGCAGCGTGAACACTAAAGCATCTACAATGCGTCCTTGACAGCATCAAAAGGGCTGCCTTATTCAGCCGCACCATCACAGCAGCTGCTTTGACTGGAGGCGCATTCGATACACATGGAAATGCCAAGTGTGAAGGTTCTATACGTCTTTTCTGCCCCTTAAGATCAGATCACTGGAGACAGATGTTAATGCCAAGTGTGAACAGGGCCAAAATCGTGAAAACTTTTCCAGTATTTTACAATCATCAACATTCCATAGAAACTCTGAAGACTCGTGTAGGTTCACTGGTGGTTTTGGATAGTAAATAAAATGTCTATATCTGTGTTGTAGTCATGGCGACCCCTGGTTCCTATCACCACCACTGTAAAGAGATCTGAATCATTTCACACCAAGCCACTCTGAATCACTCAGTTTACATCTCAATGATTGACTTATTCAGTATTTTTGGTGGAATTCCCCTTTAACGTTAAAGCAGCTTACTGAGTTACTGAATATTGTGTTTTTCTGTGAAGGAGTGATTACTGATCACTCACTTTGCATTGTTGTACTTGTCCCCATCGCTCTTCAGAACAAAGTGACGCCGAGGTCAAGCGCTACGATGTAGCACTGCTTTAGATCAAGGGACCCACGGCGAGAGGCAGGAAAGGACTTAGGAGACAGTAGTTACCATGTCAGGCTGGAGGTGTCAGTTAATGTGGAGCTAAGTGAAGGTAGGAGCACATACATAGTACAGACAGTGCAGTGACATCTCGGTTGTTTTGTCCATGTTTCTGAACATTCATTCTAGACCACTAGTTTTCTCCAGTCCTGCAGGCCCACCGTCCCTCACAGTTCCCAGTGCCAACACCAAAGGATGGTGATCCAGCTCATCATAAGACTCTTCAAGAGCTGGATCAGGTGGGTGGGGCAGTGAAGCTCCAGGACTGGACTTGTAAACCACTGCTCTGGGCTAATGAAGAAATCTGTCACCATTACAGACTGCATACATTACATTAAAAGGAAACTCCACCAATTTTTCAAAATTTCTTCGTAATTAAACAGTTAAGATGTAAACAGAGTCATTCAGAGTGGTTTGGTGTGAAACGCTCTGTTGTAGAGAAACTTACAGTCAGAATTGTTCACAGTGGTGGTGATAGGAACCAGACGTCCACCTCTAAAAGCTCCCTCACAGAAAGTTATTACACTAAATGGTTAGGAATACTCAGCCGGATGACACTGTTTAATGGTTGTTTTGTGATAAATTTTGGCCTAAAACATTTATTTTAATCTATTCATGGTGGAGAGATACATGTGGGGTGTTCTAAGGTGAAATAGTCCCCAAAGAAAAGTCTTTTTTTTCAGATTTTCCACCATTTTCCCATCAACATTCCATATAAAACTCAGTAGACTCGTGGAGGTTCACTGGTGGTTTAGGATAGTAAATAAAATGTCTATATCTGTGTTGTAGTCATGGCGACCCCTGGTTCCTATCACCACCACTGTGAAGACATCTGAACCATTTCACAGCAAACCACTCTGAATCACTCTGTTTACATGTTAAACACTGAATTATGCAGAAAACTCCCCTTTAAAGAAGCGAAGGGAACATGTCAGTGTTGTACTATGAAGCCAGGATCCCCGTAATTGCTGTAGGGGAAAAAGCTGACCTCCCCTGAATGTCATTCTATAATTTACACTCTGTGTGTTGCCCCAGTCTAGTCTGCCTTAAGGATGGTGATAAGCACATGGCTGCCCTCTCTAATGCTCCGCTTCTCTGATAAGCTACTATTACAAATTCGGGGTGGGTAACATGATGATATATAAACAACATCACAGTATGCTTTTCCGAGTAGATGATGGGGATGGTCAGCACTGAACAACTGCATGGGTCATAAAAAAATATTAAGAGAAGCTGTTTGGTAACAAGTAACTGATCGAATGTCAGCCCATAATGTCATTATCGTATTTTGTTAATTTATTTTGCCAAATATTAGAGATTCATAGTTTGTATAACCCAGAGGTGGCAACCCAAACGTTAAGAAGAGCCATTTTGTCCTTTCAGCAAAATTCAAACCACCTTGGGAGCCTCAGCATTTTATGTCCATTTTACCATCTTGGCTGTAAATACGCCTCAGTATGTCCTACTAAAGGCTAATAAATATAAAATAAATTACTTTGATCTGCTATAGCCGCTTTTCTCGCATCTCCGGCAGGAAACTTTTCTAAAAGTAGAGCAGTTTCTTATAAAATGTCTCTCAACATTGGATTTTTTACGAGGCTGAAGTCGCTTCTCATTCACCAGCTTCTTCTTTGAATTTTCCCGTTCCACCTTAAAAGGTGCATGAGGGGCCAGAACGTCACTGCTGCACCATTTAAGGTGAAACGAGAAAATTTGAACGAGAAGCTGGAGACCTTTGGTGACTTTTTAGTGTTCGTCAGTTTCTCGTTGCAGAATAAACGTATCAGGAAACCAGCTGGAGTGATTCTAAATGCAAAATAAATCCACTCCAAAATTATCGATGTTCGTCTATCTTGTTGCCTTTTCGTTAGCTACTAACTATGCCAGATTGTTATATGTGTTGCTATGGTGACCAGTAGTCTGCTCTAATCTTCAGGGTTAAAGGGTGAATTAGCAGTTCTAGAGCTTTATTTTACCGTAAAGGAGGATTATTTTAGTTCTCCCTACAAATCTAATTCTGCTGTGGAGCCACAACAGGGCAGTAAAAGAGCCGCATGCAGCTCCGGAGCCACATGTTGCTGACCCCTGGTATAGCCTTTTAAATGTGGCGCTACTGTTTTACTGGTGCATTTTGTTTGTTTCAACTTCTTCACCAACCTAAAAACCTAAAAATCATGATAAATATCATATTATTCACGTGCTGTATCGCCCACCCCTGTTACAAAACGTCCCGAGCAGCATCACTAGCAATTTGCAGAAGAAGTGAGGCAATAAGGGAATAATAAGGGAAATTAATTAAAGTGGCAATATTTACTAATATCAAGTTACCAAAAGTGTGCAGTAAAAACTTCACATACAGTTCTTACACTTTGTTTATAACTACTTTGTAAAAGAAGCTGGCTTTGTTCAGAATAATCCAAGTCGTAAACAGAATCAAACTAAAATAATCTTAAAAATCTCAAAATTGAAAAATAATACGGATTAGGCAATGGGGTGAAATGCGTATGGTGGATGAAATTTGGTACGAGGAACACTTTGTCCCTGCTCATAAATGGCGTGTGGAGGGAACAGGGTGTGATTTAAGTTTGGGGTGATGAAGTGTGGACGAGTCGAAAAATTAATGACAACAAATATCATTTTATTTATGGCCTCGATGGCCTTACGGCTCCTCTCGGGCTCACTTTCTGCCTCCTCAGTCGCCTGCTGGCCGGTTTGATATCTGATCTATTGGACATTCATTCATTTATATCGTTATTACATCCAGGCCGTGACATGAGGGCTTCCGCGGCGTCCAAAGTCAATATGAGCTGGACCTGCTCGTATCGGGGCCGCCGGTCTAGCCAAATTCATCCTTCAGACACAGCAGGGGTGTGCTGGGAATAGGATTATCCAGACCTTAAGTGGCTTTAATGTGACGATGGCTCCCGTCCCCCACGTCCAATTTATCTTACTTTGTGTCTCTGTCCACACGGGGGCTAAAATATTGCACCGTTCTTAGCAAAGCTGCTCTTATTCATGTTGCTTTGGTTACATAACTCGGCGCACAACATGAAAGGCGTGCCGGAGAACAACTCGCTCATTTTCAGAGGAGTGTTTGAAGCACGACAGCGATGTGAGAACAGCATGGGACCCCCAGTGGGCCCCTGGGAGCTCAGAGTAAATCATCCTGTCTCACCTTGGACTTATATATAAGTGCATATATATATAGTCAGTGGATGTTTTAAAGCCATTTAATGTTCTAAAACTGCGTGTCGGATCACTTTTCGGATTGTTTTCGACGAGAAAGCGAGTTGATATCAAAACAAATGTTCTGTTGCAAAGCACTGCGTATGTATTTCTATGGGAATGTGTGTGTGTGCATGTATTTATCTCCTTGTGGGGACTAAATAGAACCTTGATATAATTACAAATTGTTACTCCGATTAAATTATGATGCTCCATTGCACACACTGCATGTCCACGTGCATGGAAATGTGCATGCATGTATTTATCTCTTTGTGGGGACCAAATACCCCCAGAAAACACAAAACACAAACATGTCGCAGTTGTGGGGACATTTGTCAGGTCTTCATCCCTCCAAACTGCATCTTTTGCAGACAAAGTGAAAAACAAAAGCCAAAAGCTGATCATCTGGTTGCTGAGGTTAAGATTAGGGGGGTTAGGTGGAGCACGGCAGCAGCACCCCACAAAGAGCCCAGCACACGCTAGTGTGCATGTGTGTGTGCACATGCAACATAACTGGAGTGTCTTCTTGTGTCAGTTGACTCTTTTAGAGGAACACAAGTTACCAGAGTTTCAGTTGACGGGATTAACCCCCTGGACACCATCGTATCCAAGTACACACACCCATAAACACACATACTCACCCCCCAGCCTCCACCCCCCCCTTTTCCAGAGGGAATAAGAGGAGCCCTGAGGAGGCTGAGGCTCACAGGACACACACTCACCCATCAGTGCAATGCCCAGCGGCACGGCCAGCACCAACGGAGTCATGCCCGAGCTGAAGAAATCAGGTACGATCTCTCCCTCTCTCTCTCCCTCTCTCTCTCTCTCTCTCTCTCTCTCTCTCTCACACTTCCTCATCACCTAGCTCTCCTCACTCTGGAAGTACATTGCCATCTGTGTGCACAGTAGGGGACACACACATGTTCCTCTCACGTGTCCACACCGAGAGAAATGTGCTTTATTTTTCCCTTTTATTCAGTAGAACTGTGAACTAAACCAATGTTTCAGTTACTGAGACGACGGTTAATATTCAAGCTGTAATCTAATCAAACCTGCGTTATGTAATCGTCAATAATTGTTTAGCTATAGAATAGTAAATATATTGTTGCATAATTATGGTGAACAATCCCTTCAAAATCACAGGTTTATTACATACTAAGGCTTATTATTCAGTAATTCATTGACTGATTTTTTGTTTGTTGTAAAGGGACTTAAACAGCTTCATCCAACACTAAGCTGTAAAAATATTGCAAAAGCTGGAAAATTTGCTACTTATGTCCTTTTTTGTCATTTTTCAGTTTTTGAAATAATTTGAAAAAGTCTGTTGGCCTTTACATTGTCTGTAAATTTAATGATGAATGGACCAAAAGAAACGGCTCAAAATGACTTGGAAAAAATTCTGGTTCCTTTGACTTACATTACAAATGATGCACGTTTTTTCCTTCTCCTGTAAAGTTACAGTTTTAGAGATTTTTTCTCTTTTTTTAGAGAGTTTTAGAGATTTTTCCATGTTTCATATCATGCTACTCTTCCACTCTACACTCAAAAAAGGTTCTATATAGTACCAGAAGAAGGGTTATTTCCACCACAGAGCAGAACCGTGTAACCATGCAAAGAACCATGCACTGATTCAGATGATTCTGTGATTCGTCACAGTTGTGTATATAACCACTGCCTTTACTAAAGAACCATTTTTGGGGGTTGAATAAAAAGACAAAAAAACGACAGATAACAGGTACTGCGCTTCATTCCCTCCTGGTTCTTCTCTGTGTTATCCAGCCCTCATCCCCAAACGCTCCAGTGACAGAGGAAACCGGATCATGATGGAAAATGTTTGTGTGCCGTTACTCAAATATGACAAACGATTAATCTCGAACCGTGAAATGTAGATGGTGACGCAACGCAAAAACGTCCCTGAGGAAACCGTACACTTCTGCATGCTGAGAATGCTCTGCATGCTCAATGTACAGCTTCAGTGGTGGGGTGGCACCTATAAGTGTCGCCGTAAAAGATGTAGAGGTGACCATAAAAAGTGACCAAGGGGACGGAGAAGAGAGCCAAAAACTTATACTAGCCTGTTGAAGGAAATCCACTGTGTCTATCACACATATTCATGTTATAAATGCATTATAATACATTTTTCTAAAAAAATAGTACTTTAATTTACTTGAAACTCCAAATCTGTATGTTGGATCAACAGGAATCAAATATATAGAGGCCTCAAAATCACTTGACCATTGGGGCCGTACTTACACGAATTAAATTAATGGTGTTGGGACACAAAGTTTTAATCCAGGTAGTGTTTATTTTAGACAGACCATTCCAGGAGTGTCAAATATTGTTTAAAAAGGCAATTTTTTGAGTTTGAGCAGTTGCTTTTCATTCAGAGTGCCTTTGTACACGTCTGAGTTCACAGTCCATCAGTGCTCACTGACACCGTTGTGAGAACAACAGCCCTAGACTTTGACGTTCCCGCCTCTGCGCTTTACAGAACTCTTAAGCTGCGTTCACATTACAAGCCTCAAATCCGATTTTTTGCTCAGATCTGATCTCTCTGACAGGATGGTTCACACTCGTTTAGGTAAGTGATTCAAATCTGTCATTAATGTGACAAACCGGCGTCCTGAAATGACCCTCATGAGCTCATCCTACTCAGTAACGTCACTTGAATGAATCGCGTGCATCATCAGCACAAACTAACGAGCAGAACGAGCTTCGCTGAGAAGATAATTAACTCTGATCAGCTCTCAGCTTCATTATTAGAGCGAGACGAAGGAGAAAAAGGTGAGATGAGCTGCTTTTCCACCGTTTACAGGCTTTAACTTCTGTTCGGCGCTGCTGCCATGGTAACGCTGAATGATGGAAAAAAGCACATGAATTCCGATCTGAGCGTCAGATTAAGGTTGCATGGACACGAATCAGATACGTATCCAATCTAGGACCACATATGAAAGTGGCTCAGGTCGAATTTGAAAAGATCAGATTTGCGTGTCCACACAGCTCTGAAAACATCAGATCTGGGTGACATTGGGGCAAAAAATTGGATTTGTGCCACTTCAGCCTGGTAATGTGAACGTAGCCTTTGTGTAGTCTGGTTGGAAGTCTTCACAGACTTTACCATTACCACTGATGTTTCGCTAAAAGTGTTTTCTTCTAAACAAATGTGATTTTGTTAAACATTTTATGAAGTAAAAAGAACTCCACAGTTTAACCTAAAGAACACCACAGTTTAACCTAAAGAACACCACAGTTTAACCTAAAGAATGTCACAGTTTAACCTAAAGAACGTCACAGTTTAACCTAAAGAACGTCACAGTTTAACCTAAAGAACTCCACAGTTTGACCTAAAGAACGTCACAGTTTAACCTAAAGAACATCACAGTTTAACCTAAGGAACGTCACAGTTTAACCTAAAGAACATCGCAGTTTAACCTAAAGAACGTCACAGTTTAACCTAAAGAACATCGCAGTTTAACCTAAAGAACGTCACAGTTTAACCTAAAGAACATCACAGTTTAACCTAAAGAACACCACAGTTTAACCTAAAGAACATCACGGTTTAACCTAAAGAACACCACAGTTTAACCTAAAGAACACCACAGTTTAACCTAAAGAACACCACACGTTTAATTACACACTTCTATAACCTAAGAATAGCTCCATTAGTTTGCATTGAAGTCCCTGTAGTTACTGAATAATAAGCCTTTGTATGAAATAAACCTGGATTAAGGGGTTAAATGATCCAAATACTTCAAAGCGCCACTGTGTTACATCAGCTCACTGTCAACTACGGCCAAAATTCATAAACTGGAAGACAGAAATTGTTTTGATGTAATTGTACTCTACTATAGTTTGTAACTGCTGGCAGAGAGCAGCCTGAATGGTTCAGCTCTAATCAGTGTACACACTTAAAAAGATGGTTCTTCAAGGGTTCTTTAGTGAAGAAAATGGTTCTATATAGAACCATGAACACTCAAAGAACGCTTTCCATGATTAAAGGTTTCTTGCATTATGAAAGTGTTCTTCAAATGGATGGAGAATAAGCTGTAGATGGTTCTAAATTGAGCCTTTTTGAAAAGGGTTCTTCTACTGTTACAGTGTCAAGCTTGTAAAAATAGAAGAACCCTTTTGGTGCTATATAGAACCCTCTTCAAAAAGGCTTTATATAGAACCGTTTGTAGCACATTCATGCACATTTTCCATCAATCTGAAGAAACTCTTTCATAATGCAAGAACCCTTTAGTCATGGAAAGGGTTCTTTGAGTGTTCATGGAACAATAGAAGAACTCTTTTTGGTGCTATATAGAACATTTTTCAAAAACGTTCTATGTAGAACCATCTAAAGCACATTCTCCATCAATCTGAGTAACCATTTCACCATGCAAAGAACCCTTTAATTATGCAGAGGGTTCTTTGAGTGTTCATGGTTCTGTATAGAACCAGGTTCTTTACTAAAGAACCCTTTTTAAGTGTGTAGAGTGAAACTAATCACAAAGAAGCACACTCTACTGAGTGACTGCTGAGCAATGAGTGTATTAGTTAGTGTTGGTGTTTGGAGATGGTGGTGGGGGGAGTGTTACTGATGCCTGGCCCCCAGCTATCAAAGATATGTTCATCCACATAGGGGACTGATGACATTTCACAGGAGGAAAGGGCACCTTGGGCATTGCTGGGATTTCGCGGCTCCCCCCAAAGTCCTGCGTAGCGTCCTGGGTGTCAGAGGAAAATAATAATAGTCTTTTCAGAGCAGAGAGGAGTTTAACAGCTGCTGTGTTCAACAAATGGGTATAAATCATGAGGAAAGCCTCGGGAGCTTTAGAGCTTGTCTCCCTCTGTCTCTCTCACATGTTCTATTCCTTTACTGTAGCACATAGAGCTCCTCACTGGGGCTGGACGATATGGCCAAAACATGTATTTCCACAGGACTTGATATAGGCTGTTTTGAACCCTGACGAAAACAGAAGACTTTGGTGTTATTTACGAAATTAATTATTTAACCCTTGTGTGGTGTTGATGTGTTTGTTACTCAGTGGTCTGGTGGACCCATCACATTATTGTTTTATTAAATCAATACAGTCATAACAATTTATGTAAAAATACCAGATGTTTAAACACCACACAAGGGATACGTCTATTAAGCACCTTTATTATTATATTCATTACTAAGTACATTAAGTACCTTTACACATGTTCAGTTTGCTTTTGCTGGGCCTTTATATTATGTTCTATTCAACATGTAACACATTTAACCCCTTAAATGGCCAGGGCTGGAAGTTTTATTACACACCTCTACAACCTAAGAATATTTGCATTGAAGTCCCTGTAGTTACTGAGTAATAAGTCTTAATATGTAATGAGCCTGGGATTTTAAACAGTAGCCATACAACAATATCAGGAATAAAGCTGTGAAGAAGGTTGGGCCTTTACTGACTACAGTCTCCTCTTGTTCCAACTAATAGCCTTACTTTCGCTGCTAATACTGGATTGAGGAACTGAATGGTATGATAATTCTATCAACAACCACAAATGAGCGTTATTGATATCCAAATAATGTTTGATTTTCATCATTATTGTTATCCATTTTTAAACTCGCATTCTCCACATGATTCAGGCCTTCACCATTTCCCGAATCCACTAGCCCAGCTCCACATTGGGGCATTTCCTGTTCACAATCCTGCCTCCATTTCGTCATCCAAACAGTAAATTTTACTCTGCTAGGAATGGCCTCCTCATCACTGTTCATCACATTGGTCACTGTAGAAGTATGCAGGAGTAACCCAGAGTAACC